TCTTATTGCTAACACCACTAACAAGCTTATTCCGCTTCAAAAACCAAATCTGAAATTCCGATCTCTAAAAAAAACCTGCTGTTTGTTATTTTTTTTAGTGCGTGTTAAAATTCAAACAAACCCCTTACCTAGCTCAGAAAGTTGAATCTAAGCTAACACAACTTAAATTTAAGGCACTAAAACGAAGCGGTACTTTAAAGTGTATAAATAAGTTACCCAATCAGACGAATTTAGAACATGACACAATTTTCGTAGATAATCATTAAACAAACCAGCCAATTAGCAGGCGTAATTCGGTAGAGAGCATTCTATTACTATATTAACCAATCAAGCGATCCTGATCTAATTCTCATTAATGAACCTGCTTCAGATTCGTTTGACAAAACAAACTTCCGCTATACTTGTTATTCTGTATCTTAGGTCGTATTCACAACAACATACAACACTTTCATGTAGAGACCACGGACATATGCGGTAACATAATAGTGATTAATTGTAGCCTTACGCGGAATTTTAAACGAATAATAAAAGCATATGTATATGGGATGCTGGGAAAGGGAACAAAATTGACATAAAAAAAGTTTCTTCACAAAAAATTAATTATCTCACAAACTATTAATCAGAATACTTTTGGTACCATTCGATTCGTCTAATCAAATGGTACCAAAATCACATAATTCCAATTAATAGTTCGCGAGATAAATTAATTTTTTGTGAATAATTATTTTATGTCAATTTCGTTCCTTTTCCCAGCACAAAGCCTATATAATTGTTAAATTTATTTTCTGTCATCTTAAATCCATAATTATCACATTATACAACGATAGATCAAAATTATAATACGAAATATGTATATGGTTCCTCGCATAAATATCGCACAATTTGTTTCACACAAAAATGTTTTCAAATCGCATAATCTGGGGTCTCTACTTCCATGTTATTTTTAAATAACTTGCGTTATTTTATGCTTAGTCAAGACTAAAGAGGTAAAAGGTTGTTTTTTTATAAAGAAAAAAAAACATGTTATCACTGGAATGATGAACAATATGCAAAAAAAGTGATCTAAATATAAAAATGATCTCTGTTAATTTAAGTCGCTGACTTCAGTGTCAACATTATAATTTCGAAAAATTATCGCTCGATATTGACATAATGATTATCTTTTAACAGACTCAAATAAATCAACAAATTATACAGGTGAGAGAAACTAATATTATCATTTAGAATTGAGTAGATCTTTCGATCATAATTAAATGCTAAACGTTCTTATTCTCAAATCTTGCTAGCCTTTTTGCACGCAAGTCATCAATGGACAGTTCATCATTAGCTGAGTCTTTTGAATTAAGATTTTGATTATGGGTGTTATTTAAATTCTCTGCACGGCCAGCTGTTTCAACACTTTTAAGGCTTGCTGCAATTGCCATATTTAAATCACTGTCGTAAGAACTATGGTCCTTTGAAGGTTCCGGGTGTGATATAGCGTATTCATCAGCTTGGCTTGTTGGAAGCGTACCTCTTATCACGAAAATACTGTAACCTTAATAATTTCAATATTAAATAGTTAAATTTTAGTTAATTTTTGCTTATAGTAGTTAAAATTTTAATAATTTTTTACCATCAGTTTCCAACTGTTTGAGTAACATTCCTAAATAAATCTGACTAATCCATTCAGGTCCATTAAATAGAGAATCCAAATTATACCATCTTGATTTTATCCCGCCGAATTTCCGAAGAGTAAACCTTATAAAAATGACAAAATTAAGCACATGGGAACTAATAGTTTTCCTGATTTATTGGCTGCTTCCATATATATGGTGGCGATTAATAGATATAAAGGGATATCGAGTTTTTACCAGTGTTCGCGAAGATTGCATATGTAAGCTTCTTCATCCCTAAATTAAAGATTGAAAAATTTCTATCCACATTATGAATATATAAAAAAAAAAAAACAAGTATAATATATTTTAAATACTCTGGAGCTTTCTTTGAATCACGGCCTTCTTCTGAACCAACTGGTACAAGTTCTACACATTATCATTTATTAGTATACAGATTGAACAAGTATAAATTAAGTTCAATATATTAACTTACCGAGATTCCACACTTTCAATGCATGACTCAAAACCTACGATGGATAAAAAAAATATACAATATAGTTTTACACTGGAAATTAGAAATGTCTGGACTTTTATTATGATAACGCTTTTGGAATTGTGAATTTTAGTATTAATAAACAAAAATATTACTACAATGCCTTATAGGCTTCTTTTTAATTGAATCATGAATACTTACTTGCACTGAAAAGAATCCTTCAAAAGAATTTTTTTTTTAAAAAAAAAAAAGAAAGTGAAATCGATGAAATATAGAGTTGTGCTCCCTTAATAGCTATAAATTTACCAGAATCATCCATGTTTTGACTTTTTTGTGCTGAGGCATTTTCCCCTAACAATCCAGTTGGTATCTGTTCAACCCCCTCTTGTAAAGCAGCATGCTCAGCCTGATCCAAGTTTTTGGCAATTTCACTCAAGTCAACAGCTGTAAAGTACTCTCCTGTCGAACATAAAATCAGGAAATTTGACTAGAAAAACCACGAAAATAGCACTAAAATAACTACCTTGAAGAAGGGAATTAATACAATGTTGGGCACATAAATAGCCTTCTTGCTTTATTTTTTCCAAAGATAAAAATGATTAATATTCTAAAATACAGATAAATGTTTCTATGCTTTCTTATACTTTACCTTTTCCCATATTATGTATGGAATAAGGTCCGACATTGCGAATTTAAACTTGCGTATATTTTTACTAGGACCGTCACTTAATGACGGGGGTTATATAAATACAAGTGTTTATCACGTGGTTGTGGACTGGTTGTAACCAAATTTTACGTTAATATGTTCGCGAATTTTAATCGCTTGAGATAGGCTCTTGACGAAATTGATGACATTAAGGATCCCTGAACCTTTGGTCATAAATATTTATTAGAAAGACTAGTTGGTCTCGCACTTATTCGCGGTCACCATAAATCATGTGAAAAATAAATTGACCAATATTCCTAATATTAAAAATATTAGAAATATTAGAACATGCATACATTAAAACAATGTGGAAATAAAATATATAAAAACAGATCCCCTGAAATTTACAGCATTTGAGAAATTCCCCACGAAAGTGAAGGATCTTCTACGTGACTTAGCCTTTAACTCCTTTACCGAAATTTCACGTACAGGTGACCCTCGTTAATATCAACCTATTTGAATTAGATAATTATGTTGAGCATTGTTATTTATCAAAGAGATAATAATTTATAGGTTGAACTCAATTTTTTTATAAGAGGGTAGTGTATATTTAAATTTTTTATAGTAGAAAGGTTATTATATAGAATTTTTATATGTGTAGTATAAAGGTAAAGATTATAATTTTGGGAGTTTAGTATAAGTTTAGGTTGTATTAGCGAAGGATTGATAATTGATAAACGAAGATATTAACGAGGGCCACCTGTACTTCGTCTTTCTATCAAAAGCTACTAGCGTTAGACCGTTTCATTTATGTCTAATGGTATACTTACTATATTCGCATTTACAAATCTTCTAAGAATACATGTCACTAGTAAACTGGTTTGAGAGCAAAGCTTTAAAAGTTACGATATTAAATGTTATTACCACTAGAGCTGTTACCCGAGTCGAAAGCTCAATTTTAAGTTGTAATATATCGGGTATACAGTATCTGCTTGAAATTGCCTTGAGATATGAATTGATATCATTCGATGAGACGAATCGAATGGTACCCAAATCATTCAATTCGAATCTCGAAAAACTATTTAATGAATTACGGCAGAATTATGGCACGTTTGCCGTAATTCATTGAATCATTATTTGCGAATACCTTGTGATCCAGTGATTCGAATTGGATGATTTTGGTACCGTCTCATCGAGACGAATATAATTGAGTTTTTTGTAAAAAAATTACGACCAATTACGGCATTGCGCTTACACCACTACCCGTAACCTAACCCGAGAAACAATTCTACTAATTTTTCCTTTACAAGATTTGCTACGTAATTGTTAGCTACGTATACAATAGACGATTAATCTAGATGGTTTGAAGTAAACATTTTGATATTTCTAAAATCCTGTAATATATTTTTTTATTCTTTTAAGTATAACGTTGAGCTACCGAGCTAAATGTTAAATTAAAATAGAGTCGGTTACCCAAATCAAATGTTATATTTATATCTAAATTTTTTTAAATATAAGTTTGAAATATTATTGAGATGTAAAAAATTGGTGCTACGTGACTAAAAAAAAAAAAAAAAACAAAGCCTTTTTTGGCTTAAATATCTATATAGCCTGACATAGCAGAATTTCCCATCATTCATCCCAATTTTATAAATCAAAGTTGAAATAATCATTAAAAAAACTGTACATTAAAATAAAAAAAAACCCCTAAAAAAAGAAAAACCAAAGCATATAAAATTTGTCGTCGTTGTGGACGGAACTTAAAAAAAAAAGAATGTGTGTTACTAAACGCAAAGATTATTTGTTGTTAACCATTTTTGATATTAGAAATACAAAAGTTCATTCTATAATTTTTTAAAGTTTCTTAAAGAGAGATTAATAATATTGATATAACCGTGGCGTTGATGCCGGAGAACACTCATTATGCGGAGACTGATGTGGTTTTCGTGAAGAACATCTTGAAAATTCATAAAAATTTTGGTCCGAGCAATTTTTACAACCCAGTGATGTAGAGCGGATAGCATCTTTTCGTTTACATGCTTCGCTACAATATAGGTTTTCGAGAGTAAATATCCGACGATCGCATACGGGACACCAAGAAAGATCCATTATTATTATTATTTATAAAAGCGTATTCGTCACCTTCAAATTATCAGAAGTAAAAAAAAAAAAGTGTATTCGCTATCAGACTATTATTTAAATAAATAAATTTAATTATGGATTTAATAAATTCTAAAACAAAAATGGTTTGGGTAAATAAAATAAATAATCATAAGGGTTTTTGTAACGAATTCATTTCGACAAATTATATCAGCTTTGGTTTTTAGACATTAATAGATTAGACTTGGTCAAAGAAACGAAGAAAGATAAATGCGATTTTTGAAGTTTTAAATACAAAAAACCAATTCCTGAATTACCAAATACGTTATTATGTTCTTTAGTTTGTTCTTTCCTCTTTGAAACTCATATTAATCGGTGGTAACTATATTACGTATATTATATTGGTACGTAACTATTTTGCTTAATTGTAACGGTTACAATTATGATAGACATGATAAAAATAGTTAATTTTATAATTTTTTTTGTTAGTTCAAGGAGGTCTCACTATGAAGCAAATATAGTAGTAACAAATCTGCGCCACTTTGCCACTTAAAAGATCTTCTACGCACCGCTAAGTAAAACTTTTTAAGTTGATTGCTAATTGATTAATAAATTAACAATCACGTGAGTGTTATTAAGGCTAAATGTGAAGTAAGGCGGATCCGACAATTTTGTTAATAATCAAATAAAATCTTGTAGAAAAATTTTTGTTTTCTTAAAAATTTGCTTGCTATTAATTAACGAATTGATTAACGTTAAAAATTTGTTTTCTGTATCAGGTATTAAATTGAATACCTAAAGTTATTAAAGTAAAAAAGGCGACGAAGGAAATAGTGATCGTACCCGTTCTACCCAATTATTAATAAATTACCCGGTTAACCGAGTACTTTTACGTATTATTGGCTATATAATATCATTTTCTACCCGGGTATAATCTCTAGAATGGAATCTTGTGATTCAGTAATCAGGATCGATCTCCCTTCATCGAAAAAAGAGAATGGTTCGATTTTGCAAGTTATCTATCTTAATTCGTCATAATCCTTTACGCCAACATAATTGGAATAGTTTATAAGTAAGCGATCACTACTAAAGATAATACGTAGAAAGTGGCTGGCCAGCTTTTCATCGGCATCATTTGTATATTTATCCTTTTTTTGAAACATTATAAGTATCAAATATATACGTTAATCCGGGATTGCCAATTTTTCTCACAGAAAAAGTTAAATTATTTCACAAATGAGGCTGAAATTTGGTGGATTAATGTCGAGACTGTTCGGCCGATAGTCTTTCCCCACAAAATTAATTGACATTTAGTCATTATACAAAAATTACCTTTAAAATTGACGTGATTTCTAAGTATGAACGGATTTTAAGGCATGAATTACAAGACTAAATTAATTTTAATATAATATAAATATATTTATCCGTTACTTCTTACACGTGTAAATTATTTAACGTTTCTTTGTTCGTTAATTTCAATGTTTCATTTTAATAAACATTGAAATATGGTGTCGAACAAATAGTAATTGCGACATTTCGATTTCCATTATATAATTTAATTTGCTTAAACCCAAACAAGTGGCCTGTGTTTATGCACGTTATGTAATTGCTCGGGGCAATTTGTTCGAGGTTTCTTTTTATAAATATATATATTTATAATAATCAGAGTGTTCTATTTTCTAGCTTCTAAATAAGGCTACAACTAAACTCTATGTACATATTAAATGCAAGATATATATATAAAGATTTATACTATAGCAGATAATATACGTATAGTACTCCAGAGAGAGCGCACGTACCTCTTCTTAGAACCTGATGCAGTTGTTACACTGTACATCTAAAATTTTTTATACAATTCATATTATTACTTTCTGGTTACGTACTACTTATATGAATGACGCCAAGAGGTAACCTGTGAATCATGTTTTTTTTTGAATATTTATTTTCAATAGAAACTCAATAATTAAACACATGCTATTTTTAATACTATCTGAAATCGTCTTAAATAAGACGATTCGAATAATACATGTTAAAGTTTTAAATGTTCAATTCCTCGATTTTAATTTAAATATTATATAGTTATTGCATACGAAGTATGCAATAACTGCTGTATTTTATGGATGATGATGATTGGTTGGTAACCCAGCCGGTACGGCTGGGTTACCGAACGATCAGAAGAGAACATAAAATACAGCAGTTGGTGCATACGGAGCATGCAATAACGGTTTTATTTTATGCTTTACTATCTCAGATTTATGAAATAGTTCAATTATTTTATCATTTAAAAATACCATAAAATAATTGATTTATTTTATAAACTGATCATAGTGAAGTATTAAATAAATAATTATATTTTGACAAAGTTTGAATAAAATTAATTAAATAATTAGCTCAATATAATTTTTTTTGTACATACTAAATTTAGTATCTTTGGCCTACGGATACCCATTAATAGCATTTACTCATAATACTTCTAATGAGTTCTTGACCAATAGAAATATGAATAGTACTTGCAAAGTGTAATAAAGATTTTTTAATGATCCATATTCAACCAATTAAAAACCTAATTTTTTTGATTTCAACGTATGAGAGATCATAGAAATGGTGAATGTATGATGAATTTAATTTTCCAAATATTGCTAACTGATTTTGAGAATATTTAGATTATTTGAAGTTTTTCATTCAGCTTCAATAGTACAATAAACCTTTTTAATAACAAAAGTAGGACTAGAGTAGTTAATTTTTTGAATAAATCTCTTTCGCATCGTCATCACTTGACTGTCTAAAATAAAGGAATATATTAAATAAATAGAAATAAGTAGGGGGTTTCAGAATTAATGATTCGACGTCCGATTTAAGATAAAGCAGCGTATTTATTTCAAAACATTCTATTATTTAATGTACTTATTTACGTAATCGCCTACCGGTATTTAATTTTCTGATTCGGAATTTTAAAAGGAAAATAGGATCTTTTAAATTCCCCTAATAGACCATAAATATAAATTAACATTTCCAAATAAGTTATGTTTAGTTAATCTCATACGTAACAAAATGTAGATCTTTCATATTCTTTTGCATATTTACTTCTTTTGCATTAATATATTTTTTATAGCCTTTGATATTTGATACTATTTTACGTAGTAAATTCTTGACATTTGTTAACACGTTTTCAAAACGTTAAAATACGACATAATATCCTTTTCTTCATCACTTCCTATATTTCTTCAATGGTATGTTCCACAACTTTTACTCGATTTGTCGCGTAACGATCACAAAATTTTGGGTAACATGTATGAAGTATAAGTACTGTTACATAAACTAGACTTATATTTGTCTGACAATAATTCGCCTAAAATAAATCGTTTATTTAGATTAAAGACCTGAATAGAAACTTGATGTAATGGGAGAGACTACTTTGTTCAATGGTCTTGTTTTACCAACTGCGTGGAATATTGATGATAAATCACAGTTTATTAGCATAGATTCAAATGGGCTTAAATTGAATTATGCGAGTAAGATGTGTAATAAATTTTAATAAGAGAAATTTTCAGAAATATATTATATTGTTAGTTAATATAATTTTTTTTAAAGATCCTAATAATTATAAAGCTGCTGTAATTCGAACCAATAATCCAATTCCATCACAATGTGGATTATTTTACTTTGAAATTGAAATTATAAATGAGGGGAAAAATGGGTAATATTAAATAATTATTTCATGTATTGAATCATTATTATTATAAATTTTCATAATCACTTTAATTCTATTTGTTAATAGAATGATTGGGGTAGGATACTGTACAAAACAATGTAATATAAGCGATTTCATGCCTGGTAATAACAGACCATTTTTTTATTTATTTTTTATTATTTATATTAATGCTATGTCATGATATCTCTTAGGACAGGAATATGTCGAAGAAAATAAGGAAAATAAATCATGGGGGTGTGCTTACCATGGTGGCGATGGATATTTTTTTTGTTCCAGAAGTGGCAAACCATATGGACCAACATATACTGCTGGTGACACAATTGGATGTTATTTAAATTTTGGAAATGACGATAAGATGATATTTTATACTAAGAATGGTATAAATCTAGGTAAATTCTAATTATTTTAATATATTTCTTTACTTTTAATCATTTTAATTAATAAGGATCTGATTTTAATTATATTTCAAGGAATTGCATGTTATCTACCTAATGATTTAGATGATTTAAAAAATAATTTGTATCCTTGCATTGGATTAAGATCACAAGATGCGTTTGTCGAGGCGAATTTTGGACATAAAAAGTTTAAATATTTAAGTAAATTTTATTTACATTAAATTTTGATGCATATTTAAAATGTTCAATAACGATAATATTTTTATGGATAGCAATGACTAATGATGATATTGGTAAAGAATTATGGGAAGCATGCTGGATCAATTCTAAAACCTTTGATCAATACGTAGACGAGTTAAAAAATAAACCAAATGATACATTTGCACTAATATCTCGAGGAAAAGCTTACTTAATTATAGGCAGATACAAAGAAGCATATGAAGATTTAGCTGAATTAATTGGATTTCTAAAAGAAAGAGAAGAAGAGGAAGAGGAAGGAGGAGAAAAGAACGGGGAAGAAGAAGAGGAAGAGGAAGGAGGAGAAAAGAATGGGGAAGAAGAGGAAATTACTAAGTTAAAGAAATTGTTAGAATTTAAAAATATTGACATCTCTGTTTTAGAAATAGCACTAAGATATCGAGCGGAAATTAATTATATGATGGAAAGTTATGAAGAATCGATTGCCGACTTGAATAACTTACTAAAAATTAAACCAGATGATGCATGGGCAAAAGAAGCTTACGAACTAGTTCTAAGAATGTAAGTATTACGCATTCATAAAAATTATCATATCAGAAAGACATATATAATTTATATACTCTTACCAGCCTGTAAGTAATTGGAGTTTGAAGCTTGAAATTTTTAAATCAGAAATGTCGATTATATTCCAACACAAATAACAT